ATGATGTCAAGTTCGTAGTGATTATGCTAACTTCAGACGAATTCCACCAGAAGATTGAAGAGGCAAAGAAATCTAGTGCAGCCCAGCTTGATGCTCATGAAGCTTCCAAAGTGACCCAGTTTCTTGACTGCATTGGACAAACTGACAAGGTATGATAGCCACTTCCAACCCAACTCAACGACTCTTAGGGATTGGTGGCATGCAACGAAGAGGTTCTCGGAGGTCTCACTGAGGAGGAAAGAGACAACTTCTACGGGAAATTATCTGTAAGATCAATAATCTATTGTTCTCCCCCTCAGAAGACAATTCGTTTCAGGAGATTGCCCCTGCTGCCGTCGATGACGAAGACGAGGAATAGTTCCAATCAAATTTTTTCCGAATTTTTTATTTTTCCAAATGAATTTCGTGATAAAATAGAAAGTTGTCAAGATTTCATGAAGAAGATTTCTTTAATAAAAACGTTTACAATTGACTCTTCCACAGATGAGAATGATGATGATGATGACGATGATGATGAAGCAGAAGAGCCTTTGCGCTCTCTGTCTCTCTCTCTCTCTCTGCTTTTCTGTCTTTCTGATTTTCATACGAAATGACAATACAACGATTCGAATACTACCTTCTAATTAATGAAAAGAGAAGAAAAAAACATTTTTTTTTCAAAAATTCAATAATACACAGAAAACAGCTGATTCTAAAACTTGCAACAGTTGACTGTAACTGTATGGAAACAAGAATAACGATCAAGCCGCTTGATGAGATGCTGATGAAGAAGATGGAAACAACGAAAATTCAACGACGACGACGACGATGACGACAAGAGGAAGAAAGGCATCAACTACGATGACGTCATAAACGATGATAACCGGATAATGAAGCGAAACATACAGTTATATAACAAAACTGTTTTGGTCACGATAATAGAAGTAACGCTATAAGCATATAATATATAATCTTTGAGCATATCATATCTTACCCAATGGACGATGTGGTCGAACTAAGAACGGCGCTCTTTTCATATACGATGGCCCAATTGGCGACATTTGCTTTGACATCTTTTTGTCCTTCACCGGCTCCGATAAAGCTCTTAACAAACCAATTTTTTATATTTTTTTTTGTTATTTTTAAAATATATAAAAATAGAAACAAAATGTTGAAATGTTTTTGTATTTTTTTTAGATTTTAAGACATCTGTCATGATTATATACTTTTCGTAGAAAATATACATCATATTTTGATTTTTGAAAGATTCATCTCAATCTCACTCTCTCTCTCATTCTCTTTTTAGATGTCAACCATCCAATCTTTCCTTCTTCTACATTGCTTCTACCCATTCCTCCCCCTCTCTCTCTCTCTCTTTCTCCTCATTTCCTGACTTCATAAACTATCAGTCTTTTCTTCCTTTTTTTTTCTTCATTCGCTTACTTAGCATACGAATGTTGGAGGGAGGAGAGTGACAAACATGTTCTTAAAGGTTAACTTCAAACTTGTAAATCTGATTTTGGCTCTCACATAACTCCCTAGAGTTTCTTCCATTCTTTCTCTTTTAGTTTGCATTCTCTCTCTCTCTCTCTCTTTCTTCCTTCCTCTTCCTTCCTTTTTCTCTTTTTCTTTTTCTTTCTTTTTCCTCTTTTAACTTTAAACTTTGAATTTACCTGGATGACACGACAAGGAGAGCGCATAATCCTACGAGTAGTAAAAGGCGCGGAGGCGCCATGAAACTGTCTGCAAAGATAATAGATAAACAATTATAAAATAGTTATAATGTAACATATGCTCAGCATAATCAGACAGGATATGAAATTTGAAATCGAATTGAATAGTGACGAAATGAAAATAAGAAAAGATTGCTTTTTGAAGAAAGTTATGGAGGAAGCCCTATGAAGGACATAACGGGCTTCTTCAGTCTTCTGAAACCGAAAAAATGGGAAAAACCTTTTCAAAAGCATTGGAATTTCGTGATATTTTCATGTTTTCAATAATTTGCACAAAAAGGCTCCCTCTCTCTCTACAAATCTCTCTCTCTATATATATCTCCCTCGCAACGAGTTTTAATCAGTTCGCAGCTGCATCAAACAGTTCGCTAAATGAGCATTTGCTTTTCATTTCAAAAAATATATTTTCAAAGATTGCTGTCCAAGAGGTAGATTGCAGAATGCAAAGAAGATAATGAAGAAGACCACATAATTCTTTTCATTAAAGGTTTACTCCCTGAGACTCGCTCTCTCCCTCTCTCTCTCTATCTAGGACTCTCTTCCACCCTCTGGAATTCAGTTCATGGTTTCCCCACCCACTTTTTCTCTCATAATGAGAGATCGTGAATGAAACTAAAATGAAACATTGTAAGAGAGATGAATGAATGATGAGAGAGTAAAGAGAGACATGCGAGCATGTAATAGACTCTTAACAGTTCCCTAGTACTTACTCTTTAATCCATCCAATTAACAAATTATCTTCATACGCGAACTATGATCATTAAGCTTTCTCTCTCACTCTCTCCCTCTCTCTCTCTCTCTCTCTCTTCAGCCTTCCCTTCTCTTCTTATTTTCAAACAAATGATTTGTCACAAACTATTCTTCACACGCTTGTTTGTTCTAAAAAATTGAAGAATCTAAGTATTTAAAGCATTCTCCTTCAATGGAACACAAACTTTGTGTTTGGTAGAGGCTTGACGGCGCTTCACCGCGCCATTTTTTTTTAAAATTTTTCCCTCTGGACCGATTTTCTTGTTAATCAAAAGCAGAGGGAGAGTATCCTTACGAAGGGGGGAAGATAGGAAGCGTTACAAGAATGAGCAGATGAAGAATGAACAAAGAAAACACGGATGACAGGGAGGGAGAGAGATAGAGAGAGTTGAGGATGAATTGAGATAAAGCAACCATACCGCACGTTTACATGAGAGTAAATGAGTATGACGTGAAAGTCTCACGTGAAAGGTGCGGAAGTCATTCAAATTAAGTAAGAGAGAATGAGAGAGAGATAGAGATAGGGAGAGAGAGGTTAGAGAGGATGAATGGGAATTGCAAGAGTGTTATGCAAATTAGATTGAAGGATTAAAGGGATGAAGTATAATGAATTACACACGTTTAGAAGGTTTTTGGAGATGATTTCAACGAACACACAACCTTCCTTCCATTAAAGGCATTGTGGCGCCAAATTCAAAAAAAAATATTTTATAAAGAAGGAAATATTTGAATAAACTAAGATTAAATATATTCGAAATGAATAATTAAGGAATGACAAAAATGTATTTATTTTACATTTAAAATTCAATTTATGTCCATGTACTCACACATAGACACACACACCCTTACACACACACATACATCTACCACACGGTTTTGAACTCAATGTGACTTTACATCTTCATCTATAATTCGTTCATACATTCTTCTCTCCCTTCATATCTTCCTCATTCTCTTTCTTTCTCTCTCTCTCTCTCTCTCTCTCTCTCTTTATCTATATATCTATCTATCTATCTCTCTACAGTAGAATGAATCTGAATGAAGAAGATGACGCGTACATACATTCACACGAGAATCAGAATTAGAACGTTCTTTTAACGGAAGTGAAACAGCAAATGAAAGCTGAACGATATTGCCAATGGGCGGGTTTGGTGGAAAGTAGAGAAAGCTTCTCCGGGCTACAACGTCGTCAACGTCCGAGAGGAAAGGAAATGTTGTCCGTTAAGTGTCAACTTCATCTTTTCCAACTTCACTCATTTTTGAAAAAAACAACAAACAACAACAGTGTTATGATTAAAGCAGGAAAGAGAGAGAGAGAGAGAGAGAGTGAGAGTGTGGATGAGGCGAATCAGAAATAAGCTGAGCAAAGGAAGTGAGAGACAGAAAAAGATTTTGAGAATATGTAAGGGAATAGTAGAAGAGGAGGGGGGGGGGGGGTTTAAATGGAAAAAATTTGATAAAGAAGCATCTCTTATAGGAAGCAGTTGAATAGACTCAAGTGTGAGTTTTGCTTTTTGCAAGTCTTGTCTATTCATATTTGGAGAGTTGAACTGAAGAACTATTGCCTCTTCAAATAGTTGATGAAGAATCTACTTTAATTAATCAGATAAAATAAATGGAAGAGAAAGGAGGAAAAAAAAAAGTATAAAAGGTTAAATGGACGAACGACTCTGATTTCATTTTATCAGACGACAAGTCAAGATGAGAGGAAGAGAATGTGAAAGGGTGAACGTCATTGTGTTCATCTAATCATTCTGAAGACATTCAGTTTGTATGTCTCATCTTCGTCTGCATCTCCCTATGCAGATGTTCCTCAATGAAGGATGAATAACACACGTGTCAGGGTTACGTCATCATCCAGAAATATCTTCTGATGATTGGCCAACATCATGTCCTTATTGTTATTCATCATAAGAAGATAAGTTTATTTTTTGGCAGAAGCTTAACAACACACGATTTTAAGGAATAGGGGAGAGTAGAAGAGAGAGAGAGAGAGAGAGAGAGTGAGATGAATGAAGAGAAGATGAGAGTGTTGTTAAGGGAGTGATTGAATGATGGACAAGATAAGAAGAGACTATCAGACAAAGGTCAAGAGATGAAAATATGAAATAAGCATTGTTCTAAGATTGAGGAACTAAGAAAGCATCTGTAAAGAGCCGTCCACCCCCACAGAAGGTATGAACTTGACTGTCCTTTCTCCATCTCCTACTGCCGCCATCTCTATTTAAAGCTTTAATTGGTAAAGTAGGCGTGTGATTGAAAACATAAAAAAACGTTTTCAAACCAAATACATGTTGTCTATCCCATGAAGTTCTAGTCATTTGTAGTCAAATACCTAATCTCAAGTTCACAAAACATGAAAAGAAATAAAACAAAACAAAACGCCTATGAGAGACTATGAATCTGTTATTCGGGATCTTTCAATTCAAGTCTCATTAATCAAGTCAGATGAAATAATAACTGAGCAGCCAAACATGAAATGAACTGTACGACGGCTGAATGGAACTATGAGAGTGGGAAAGAGAGAGAGAGAGAGAGAGAGAGAGAGTGAGAGAAAGAAAGATATGAGGATATCAACTATTTCCCATGTTTTTCCAAATTAAAACTTTTTTTCGGACATTTGAAGATAGTAAGGACATTGTTGTATGATCAAAGTCATCTTAAAGGGTAAAGCTCTGAAAAAGAGATTATAGGATGTTCAAAGCATTTGAGAAGTATGGGATCACCAAACATGAAGAATATGAGATGGTGGATGAAGTAGTTTACCAACACTTCCATGAGTTTATAATGTATGATTGAAGTGACGTCAATAAACATAAAATAACATAAGTTAAATAGAATAAAAGAGATTCCGATAGAGAGAGAGAGAGAGAGAGAGGGGAGAAGTAGAGATGGAGAGAGTAAGATGGAGAGTTAATAGATATAGGAGGCGTGAATATGATGACAGGCACAGATGAGCTAAGACTGAAAGTTATGAAAGCATCAGCCTACTTGAAACGTTTGAGAGCTGTTGGAGATGGAAGCAGAGATTATATGAAGAGAATAAAAAGTTCCATAAATGGAATATCACGTTGAAGCTCTTCTAGCCTGGGGCTTCAATATTTCCTAAATAATCAAAAAAGAGGATGAGCATAGGTGACAAGAGATCGTGGGTTAATAACTTTCCATAAAAAGACTTTGCGCAGTTTATATTTAGACTTTGAAAAAGGGGTGAGCGGGGTAAGTGGGGTGACAGGAGAGACGAGGTGGTAGTAGGGGTGAAGGGTGAAGCTGAATTGAATTGTATGACATCATCGGAGATGTTTTGTTGAACTTTGATCAAAATGAGAGATAAAATACGATCTTTCCATTAAAATATTTCTTTTTGTCTCTCTCCCAATAGATCTCATTCTCTCTCTGAAGCTCTCTCTCTTCCTCTGTTCCTCCGTTTTTTGCGTTTTCAAAAATTCCTTTTATGGAAATTAGTATGCGTGAGCCTTCAATTTGGAAACGTTTTCACTTCAAAATCCGGAAGACAATAAAAGATATTTGGAAGTTTGCAAAACACTCGGCTTCACTTTTGAAAAAAAAAAAAAAGTCGTTAATTATAATAATTTAGAAATGTACTTATTCGCTCATTCATCCTGCGAACAATTCGCGTCCCTCCCTACCTCTCGGACTGCCTCCTTCTTTGCTCTCACTGTCTCTGACTCTCTGCAGAAATCTACGCATCAAGACATCTTTCACCTATTGTCATGAAAGTTCTTCCGTTACTTTATGTTTCAGTGAGCTGTGCAAGATGGATACGAAGAGAGGGAGAGTGAGAGAGGAGAGAAGAGACAAAGATAAAGAGATTTGGTAGGAGAAGAAAGAGAGAGAGAGAGATGGACAATATCTACAGGAAAGAGAGAAAGAGAGAAAGGAAATTCTTTTTTTTGTTAAAAAAAAAAGTAAAAAAAGGGAGAAAAGAAAACTTCCCGATTCAATGGCAGACACCAATTTCATGCAATTTCTGAGAAAGGATGACGCTCTAATTTGAATTCAGAAGCTTGTATTCTTCAATAATTTGTAGGATGAAATCTGGGATCGAAGTTTAAACTCGTTATGTTTAAGCTGTTATATACGAAATAAGAAAAGAAAAAAAGCATTGGTAGTGCAGAACGAGAAGGATTTATCATCCATCCATATTTAGAGGTAGATAAATGCTTTACGGAAGAAGCTGAAATGAGAATTTGCATATTTAAGGAGAAAAATTTTTGAACGGAAATGCTTTAATCAACACCTCAGCGTATACTGGGAAAGAAGGGTGGTGAGCCAGCAAGGTGTAACAGCCGAGCAAGAATATACGAAGAGCAAGATGTGCCAAAGATGAAGATGAGCTTTGAAGGTAAGCAGCCAAAAAGGTCAAGCATGCAAAAGGTTGTAGAAGAAAGTTTAAGCAGCTGTATGGTTGCAAACGAAAGTATAGAGGTAATCTGAAGTATGAAGACGATTGCAAGCCAAGCACAGAGCTGAACATCGTTGACTACAACGAGCACAACGACGTCGACGACGACACAATAGGAGTGGATAGAGATGTGAAGAGTGAAAAACAAAATATTTTGGTGAAATCGAAGTACAAACGGTATAAGATATGAGATGTTAACCTATGTGGATATATTAGTTAGTAAGTCATCAATATATTCTAATATTATTCGGAAAAAACCGAGGACATAGCATTCCGTATTCAAAACTTGTTTTTACAACAGACGAAGAGCAAGATAGAGAGAGAGAAAGAGAGGAAAAAAAATTTTTCTTTTTTTCCTTATTTTTTGTATGTCATAACCATAAAATGTATTTCGTCGTACTTCCTCTTCACATCTCCACCCCCACGTCTTCTTTACGCTCCTTTCGAAACAATCTGCAACTATCTGGGATGTAGATGGGTTGTTATGCAATTAGTTAAAAACAACCGTTCTCAACGACTTCATTATGCTTCAAATGATATGATCCCACGTATATGCGACGACTACACTCACTTTCACGTCTACGTGGACATCCATACCACGCATAGTTGCTCTCTACGTGGAAAGCGCGTGTGAAACGGTAAATATGCTAATCAACTTATTCTGCTTCGCATTTTTGGATGAGAAATGAGTTAGGAGCATTCGGTTCAAATGGTTTGCAACGTCAATTGCTTTATGAAAAAATAAGCGAATGAATTTGAAAAAAGATAAAAGGTTCATCTCTCTCTCACTTCATCCCCCCCCCTTTATGCCATCCCTTTGACTTTGACAAAAAAAAGTTCAAAATGGCCACTCAGGGCTCATCAAGGCGAATCAAAAGCTCAAAAAAAGACGATTGGCTAAAGTACAGAACTGAGAATGTTCATAAACTCTATAATGATTATTTCATTTTCTCATTCCCTCTCTCTCCTTCATCTGGCCATTCATATACACATACAAACACACAAGTTCACTCTATCTCTCTCTCTAAGTTGTCTCTCTCTCCATCTTTCTCTCTCTCTCTCTCTCTCAATCATACTCTTATAATTGAAAATCTCATCAAAATGACCAAATAAGATGATGTGGATGATGCAGATGATGTGCTCGGTGAAAATAAAATATTTTCTTTTATTTGAACTTCGATCATATCTTCCTCTCTCTCTCTCTCTTTCTCTCTTACTCTCTCTCTATCTTCCTTATTTGACGCCTTTAAAAGTTTTTTTTCTGCTATCGCATGGCAGTATCATCTTTCAACATGTATCTGACACGTAAATATGTCGTTTACTAAACATCAAAATTCACACACAAACCTCATTCACTTACATACACACAGTCAGTCATTTCGACACACAAAAGAAGTCGTTATGGACATCTAGTGGTTAATGACCGTTAACTATGCTTAAAACTAACTATATGAAAGTAGTCTGAATATTCAATGGATGATTTATGAAGCCGAAAATGATAGTTTAAAGAAAAATGCTTAACATTAGAAAGTTCAATTGAATAGAGAGAGAGAGAGAGAGAAAGGAGAGAGGGAAGGAGGGAATGAGGGTGAGAGTTGATTGGAAAGGTAAAATGAGAAAGGTAAAGACGAGAAGAGAGAGAAAGAGAGGGAGAGTAGTACAAGACAGAGCTTTGTCTACCTTTCCGCAGAAAGAAGAAGAAGCATAAATATCAAAGCGACGTACATTAACATAATATTTGATATAAATAAAAAATAAATTTAACGTTCAAAGATTTGACGTAATGAATTTGATATTCTGAATGTTCAAGAGAGATGGAGAGAGAGACAGAAAGGAATTGAAGCTTCTTTAATTCTCAAAGAAAACATAAAAGAACAGTCGTTGAGGATGGAAATTTCAGATGACAAAAAAAAACAGATCAGTTTCAGAGTCATTGTTCATAGTTAAACATCATCATCACCACATATCCACACACACACACACACTACACACACCCATACACAATCGAAATCATAGAAGAGGCTACAACAGAAAACTGACGTCACACGACGTGGAAGCTGAATTTGAAGACAAAAAATGAACGACATTGTCGAATTTCAGATGGAAAACGATGGAAACTTAACGATAAACGTTTACTTTGATTTGATTTCATGGCTTGGAAAACACGCAAGACTTCCGCTACGACGTTTTGTTCATCAGAATCTCAAGTCAGCTGTTGAACGTGTACATCATCAAACAGACGACAGGAAAACGAATAATTCATGTTTTTATCCGGAATATGGGCTAAAAAAAGTTTTTTTTTTATTTTCATTGCAAAAACATGAAATGCTCCGAAGAAAATGCTTCTGGATCGGCGTTTTACTTCACTGCATCCTGGTTGTCCACTCCTACTCCTGCATCTGCTGAAGACGATGATGGCGACGATGAAGGCAACGATGTTGATAATGATAATGATGATGTCTGTAAGGCATTCACCTGCACATACAACGTACGCACACATGTATGCACGTGTTTATACCTGTTTGTGCATCCTAGATCACATCTTTAAAGTATATCTAAGTTACAAGGAGATAGATCAGGCATACAGGCAGACAGGCAGACATCACAGACAGAATGAGAGACAGAATGAGAGAGATAGAGAGTGCGAGAGAGAAACTGTTTAGAAAATTAAAATTTATTTTGATGGACTTTGGTTAATTAAAGAAGACCTCATGGTTAACATAATAATATTTTGTTTCAAAAAGCTTTATCCTGTCATTATCGGCTTGTTAAGCTTCATCCATATCATCGTCAACGTATCGATCAAGATAGACAGATCCTATGTTTATTATTTTTGGCATGAAGATAGGTAAGATATCAATCTGTCGGTTGAACATGTATTGTTAGTATAGTATATGGTTAACTAGCTTCTGTACCTGTAAAGGACCTGGTATAGCTCGGCCATTCATATGAGGACATGAATGGTAGATCAACAGATAGGCGTCAGGTGTGTTGATTGGCCCAAAGTCTGATCCACAGCCAGACACTTGAAGATATAGATAAATGATATGCTATTAGTTATTCTAGTTTACCACTGAAATTTCCGCTCTTATCGGACCATGTGCGTCCCATTGTATCATCTACTTCCAGAGGTAATGCTGCAAGTTGACATGTTGACGAGAATATGATGGAGGTGTTTCACAACTTACGATCCTCATCCATCAAATCGATTTGAATATAATTGGCTTTTTGAGGAAACGATGGACATTTCAATTTTCCAACGATTTGAAAACACTCGACTTTTGGCTCAACTTTTGAAAAACTAAAAATGGAACTTTTATAAGTTGCAAGGACAGGCAGCTTACATGGTGAACAGGATGAGAGCTAGGACAAGCATCTGAAATTGATTTTAAAAGATGATTATAAACAACAAAAAAAGAGGATGAACTGTTTATTTTCATTCATTGAACATCATGGGACCTATTCTAAACTCTCTCTCCCACTCTCTCTCGGCTTCCCTCTATCTATAAGCTTCTTAAGAGTTGAAAGAACAAAATAGAAGAAAGACAGGAATAACTGAGCTAACAACACCTCCAAGCTACTCTGTAACTGTTACTAAGTACCAAAGATTTTAAGGTTATGCTTATCACATAGCAGATAAGATAAGACGTGTTTGAGAAATGTTTATTCATCATTTACAACAAGATTGGACGAGTCGTAGAAGAGGAACCCATATTAGACTAACTATAGATTGCACATAGTTAGTTAGTAACAGTAGATATGAAAGGAGAGAGAGAGATAGAGAGAGAGCTAGTTGATTTGACGTCGTTCCTCTTCACTTCGAAGTATCTTGCGTTGCTTGCTTCTCCTATTCTGGAACCATACACGAACTTGAGCTTCTGTCAAGCCCAACTTGCATGCCAATACTTCTCGTTCTGGAATGATATGTTTGTTATGTTTTATAGTTCAAAGTTATGTTTTCACCTGTTCCAACCATATATTTTTGACTGGAAAATGCTTCTTCTAAGACTTTCGTCTGCTTAGCTCCATAAATGGTTCTGCAACAACGAGATGTATATAGAGGGGATGAGAAGAGCTTGAAGAAACCTCTGTTTGCGACAACTATTTCGACGATCAGTTTGATCTAGATTAGTACGATTCAATAGTGAATCAACTAAGAAATTTGAATATCTAGATGATAGATACTTGTGCTGAACAGCTTCTGTATCCTCAATAGATATCTCCGATGAGCTTTTACGTCGATGTGGTGATGAAATGATATCAGGTGATGATGGAGCTCTGATTGTTGGACTAAGTGACGGTGATAGTTGAACAGAAGGTAACGATGAAACATATGCATTTGATGTTGTTGTTGATAATAAATTAGAAATTGCTTCAAAAATGTAATTTGTAAGAAAAAAAATTATAATTTATCTATATTAATACCCATGGCATTCAAGCTATTCACTGGCGCAGCTGCTGCAGCAACAGAAGCCATATTTGGATGATGAAGTTGTTGAGCGATTGCTGATTGCAAAATTGTCTTTTTAGAAGTTTCTTTTGAATCAGAATGGACTGATTGAGGTACGGATAAGAGTGACATGGATAATGGCTGGAAAGGAAGTAAAGTAAGAAAAAGATATTTTCAAATATGATGGCGTAAAACATTATAATCACAACGACAACGACGACGACGACGATCATCATCATCATCATCATCATGATGTGAGTGTGTGTGTGTGTATGTGTGTAACGTGTATGGCTCTCTCTGTGTATGTGTGTATGTGCCTGTGTTGCCTTCTATTCATTCAAAGCCAAAAACCAAAGATAATCCGATAAAATTTATTTGAAAAGATGCTTGTAAAGGTCAAAATATAATTGGATTTGAGTTAATTGACGTAAATGAGGCAAGAAGAAAGAAGAAAAAAAGCAAAATAGGTTTTGTTCGGCTCATAATCTATTGTAGCTCCCATGATTTGTTTTCATTAATCCTCTCTTCCACCCTCCCTCTATACCTCCTTCTCTCTCTCTCTATCTCTCTCTATCTCTCTCTCTTTACATGTTTATGCAGAGAATAAATAACAGAATAATTATGAAAAACTTACAACTTGCTGACTTCTCATTGCCAAATTTAGAAGATTCGCCTGAGGACATATCTGTGCCAATTGATCCATAACCGCAACAACTACAACGAAAGCAAAGAATGACCTTCCTCATTAGATTGTAAGCTTCTTCATCCTCACTCTCTATATATGGCTCATCCTCTATCGTCCTTTTCCATTCACACACACACTCTCTCTCTCTCTCTCTTTTTCTATTCTCTTCCTTGTTTTTTCTTCATTAATGAAACTTACAATCAAAGTTTGGAATTGTTGGAAAATCGGCAGCTGTGACATTCACAAGACTCGTCGTGTTCATTCTGAAACAGAAGAATATGGACTTGAAGACAAAAAACAGTTTGAACAGTGAGAGAGAGGGAATGATAGTAAGTGAGAGAGAGAGGTGAATGTGAGTTTGAACTGAGTTAAGGCGGTCGAATTAAAAACAGAATGAAGAGCTTTAATTAGATGAAATGAATAGTGTGAGGAAGAGTTAATGAGCTGAACGGTTAAAGAAGAAGGATGTTGAAAATCAAAATAGAATTGAAACAAATCAAAGGATATGACGCTGTGGCGATGGTGTCCAGGCAAAAGCTCAAACAAACAATAAATTTGAAATTGAAAATGAAAATATCAGAAAAAGATTTGCAACAGTTGAAAGGATTCGTACATCTTACATGAACGGAGGTAGATAACCAAACGAATGGTTTGGTTGACGTTGAGCCATCTGGGTAACTGGCAAGGAGAGAAGATTTACGTGATAAAGGATGAAATTGGTTTTAATCTGCTTTGAGCATTATATGAAAAAGAGGGAGGGAACGAGGAGGGAGGTTGGAAAATGGAAAAGAAGAGAAAGAGGGAGGGAGGGAGGGTGGAAGGAATGAAAGAAGGGAATGAGGGAGGGAGGGAGGAGAGATAGCACACCTTTGAGAATAAATGAGAATTTAATAAGTTTTTATAAACGTATGATCAAAAAGGAAATAGAATGATGCGATTGGATAACACGGTTGATTTTTGAAATTAAGAAGTATAAGAGGAAAGAACGAAGAGAGAGAGATTGAGAGAGAGTGTGTGTATATGAGAGGAGTTAGATACGAAAAGTATGAGAAGAGAGTATAAATGTAATAGAGAGACTGACGATGGTTAGAGAATTAATAAGAAAAAAGAATTTGTGTAGCTGAGATGTTCTTGCAATGAGGAAGAAAAGCCAAGAAATTAGTGAGATGACGCAGAGAGAGCTCATTGGAATTGAAAGATATTTATATAAATTGTATTAGTAAATGTATTTACAGCATGGAAAATACATATCTCTCTCTCTCTATGTGTATCTACCTCTCTCTATACGTATAAGACAGCGGAATGGAATTGAAAAATAGATTTGCTGATGCTGTCTTGTCTTGGATGTGCTTGCTGCTGCCAATTATGATCATTTGTATATTTACTTTCTTTATTAATATATATATAGATTTATATATATGTAAGAATACATTAATTGCTTTCTTCTGTTCTTTGTCAATAAAATTGTTTCTTGGAATTAGCATATTCAGCTAATTATGCTAATTATGATAACATACAAGCTATTTTTACGTCTCATTGACTCACTGATCGATTGCATTCATTTCATTCTCCTCAATCTATGTTTCATTTCTCGATCAACAATCTCTCTCTCTCTCTCTCTATAATACTCTCCATCTTTTATTGTCTCTCTATCTCTTTATAATACCCTCTATACTTCTACCTTCTACTACCTCACTCTCTTTCACTCCCTCCCTCCCTCCCTCTCTCTCCCACGTCATCCTGCTTAATCTTACTGTTCATATCATTACCCCCCTTTCTCCTTCCCTTCCTCCTAATTTCATCAGATTTATTCTAATAATTGGAAATATTTAATGATATAACATTCTTTTTTTATTTTCTGAAACAAAAACCTGGAATTGAACCATTTCCCATGTAAGAGGGTGGAGGAAGCGCAGTTGATAAGGACACATCAGGACATCAATTGGATGAGCAGCTAATGAAATGATATCAATTCCTATCTATCTATAGATATATGATATAGTTAATAGTATATCATATGTAATAGACTCTTATAATACAATACATGTGTATGATACATACAGAGAGACTGAACCTACTATGAGACACATCCAACCATCTGAAGCCTATTGGATGGAGGGAAATGTGAACAGAAGGCTCTCCCTCTCTCTCTCTCTCTCTCTCCCTCTGGTGGAACGTTGATTGGCTATCATCAAAAGGCTAATATTGGATTGAAAAATATAAATTGTTCTCTACAAAATTATTTTAATTTTATGATAAAAAGAAGTTTATGGGCTCCGCATGGCAAATCAAGTTTTCATGGAAAGAGAACTCTACCGCCTGAGAGAGAGATAGAGAGAGGGGGGAAGGATGGAGAGATGGAGAGAACGAGGTAGAAAGGGAAAGAGAAATAATTAAAATATTAGACAATTATATTGTATAATTATGTGTACGTTGTGCAAAAATGTAATCTTACGAACACACGCACAACATACAGGAGTAGAGAGAAAGGTATAGAGAGGTGTACTGAGAGAAAGGATTTGCAATGTCTCAAAAAGAAATTTTTCTTTTGTTCTTCTCTCTCTCTCTCTCTCTCCTACCTCTCTCTCTCACTCTTTTTAGCATATTAACTATGATTATCTTTTCAATCAATAATTCATTATAATTATATGATATAATTCAATTAGATTAATTATAACACCTCAAAATAGGTATTTTCATCTCTACAAGGACAGCTTGTTGAGGCATCAAACGTTCGACGACTGATTCAATGCTTCCTTCCACTCATAATCACAGAGACTTCAGAAAGCCTGAGAAACACGAGTTAATGCGAAATGTAGATCTCTCATTCATTCCATTCTGTATCTATTACTTCCGTTTCACACACTCACACACAAGAATGAGGTATCGATACTGTTCAGCAAGAACTGTGATCCAAGAGATCTGATTAAGAGAGAACGAGAGAGAAAGAGAATGAGGTGGACATATGCGTACATAGAGAGAGAGAGAGAGAGAGAGAGATGAGGAAGATGATTGAATAGATCATACGAATCAGCACCTCATTTAATCTCCTTTCATTGAAATAAAGAAAAATTCAACATTGAAATAGCTAAAAATGAAATGTCCACATCATGAAGTTGTGCAGATTAAGAATTTCATTCTCTACCTCTCTCTCTCTCTCTCTCTCTCTTTCTCCCTCATTCTCTCCACTCTCTCAATCTATCTCTCTCTCTCTCTCTCAAACTGAATCTCAACTGTGCATTGTAGAGAATATAAGAATTAATAAGAAAATTATTTCAATTTAACAGCAGATTCAATTGCAACTGAAAAGCTGCTGTGCAATGATGAAGTGAAATGCTCACCACGACAGCAGCAGCAGCAGCAGCAGCATACCACTACCAGTAGCAGCATGATCAGAATTCAAATGAAAATTCTGATGAATAATAGCTTTAATTATAAAAAAAAAGTAATAATAATAATAATATAATTTAGTATTAACTATATTTTTTATATTCGATCGCTACTATCAAAGCTAATCGCTGTTGTTATGACGTTTCTCGGGAATTTTCTTATGTCTCAACCTTCAGTCTCTTCACTCACTCTCTCTCTTTCTCTCTTCTACTCTTTCTCTCTCTCTCTTTAGTTCTTTTTATAACCAAAGTAGACGTATCAATTATGTCAGACCATTTGAGAGCTTCTTCATCTCAGGGTTTTCCTCTATTTGACATATTTAAATATCTGCAACAATAGATTTATTTTATAATTAGCATATTCACGTGAGATTTCACGTAACACCAACGGGACCACACATTATCTTCTCGTTCTATTCCTCTTCTTCATCGCTTCTTCTTTTTTTTTCGCATAAAGTTTTGATGACGTAGAAGACGGTTGCATTTTACTATTATTTCAAACATCTATCACTGATTTACATTTCAGATCGAAGAACGAGTGAAGACAAATGCAAATTAGGAGAGGAAGAGAGAAATAGAAAGATGGAAACTCCGGTTGATTAGCAAAAAGTGTTTCTTATGGATTCTCACCTCATACATCAGGCACATGCTCTCAACTCATCTACCCCCCAAACAGAGAACAGTGAAAGTTTCTTTTTTGTGTTTCTGCACATTTATGGCTTCTTACACTTTGATTCTCAGAGATCCTCATGTGTTTTGAAATGGTGTGGAAGAGAGAGAATGAGTCAGTCGTAGCACAGGAAGGAAGATTAGGCTTTGCAAACAAGAAGCTTGCAAGTGAGCTAGATCCTTGTTGTTTATGAAACTCGTAATTGTTTCATAAGTTCAAAAAGTAGAAAACTTCAAAAAGATATTTTGCTTGCAATTCTCAAGTAATCTGGATGTTCGAAGATGTAAATAGGATTAACTCTTTAATGCATGCGTATTCAATCAATTTGCTTGTACAAAAATATTTTGCTTTCTCCCTTGTTTGGAATAGAACGGTGTGTGGAGCTTGTTGCCGTACATTCAATGAAAGTATCATCTGTAATCAGATGAACTGTTGATGTCTGGCATTCTATTGTACATGAGAAAAAGCAAGTGAGAAGGAGATAGAGAGAGAGAGAGATGGAGATAGAATGAGAGAATGAGAGTTTGGCTGAGCTTAAACAGACCTTACTTGGAAACATACGAGGTATGATTTGTTTACATGAACTTCAATGAAACTTTTGTAGCTTGAGAGTGTGAATGAGAAAAAAAATTGAAATTACCCACGAATTATATTGTCCAAAAAATGTTGTTGCGAACATTAAATTATATAATATTTATATATTATATACATATCTAATAGATGGAGTGAGCAGATGAGCACATTCGTCTTTGAGACAATCAGTCTATTGTGTATAGGGGGAACTGACTTCAACGAATGTTTCAGAGTCTAATCGTCTGAGAAATGTGTTGTAGAACAATCTCGAATGAATGAAAATAGGAAGTTGATTAGCAAATTCAAGACAGCAATATGATGATGAGAGAAGGGGAGTGAGAGTATGATGATTTCGTTTTCAAGAGTTCACATGATGAGCGAACGAATCAAAAAATCATAAGCACGAACAACAATTCAATAAAAACATTAAGAAAGATTGGAGAGCAAGACAGCCAGAGAATGGCACAGGGATAAGAGGAATAATTGAGAAACGAAGAGAAAGTTCATGGATGACGGAAGAGGTGAAACCTTAGACTAAGACGATTAAATAGTTATTTCCATATTGAAGATGGATGGATGAATAGAACCTTATGAGATGCTCGGAATAGATGCCTAACAGCTTTTGAGAGTCACAGGGAGCTATTGGCATGAAGAAAAAAGGACAAAATTTGAGAAAAACTCGCTTGAGAGAGAAAAGAAAACGAGAGGAAGGGAGAAGGACAAAGAAAATGTAACGAGGGAATGAGAAGGGACTAGAGATGTCTATGTATGTGTGTGGGTAATTGGGAGGAACAAGCGGGTTGGCCATAGCAGTTGATCTGAATTTCAGCGAAATCTTGGCAACCTTTCCAATTTTCTTTGCAGTTAATCTAGTAATGACGTCTTTAATCATAAGAATATATATAGTATTTGATGACGAAAATGAAACGATCGTTTGAAAAGAGAATGCCGATGAACGAAAAATAAAAATACCTTCCAACTCATCAGAACAGGAAATTCTACAACAGCCGGTACATGAACGTCGGATGTAACTTTTTCATTTGCTACCTTAATCGTTCTTCCAAAGAGCATATTCTTCCCCATCCGCTTCCAATAGGCTGATGATGAACGTCAGAAGAAAACCATTAAACTCACTTCCTTTTTCATCAAATAGGATTGGATTGTGTGTCAGAAGCCTTTTCCCCACCCGCAACGTTTTCTTCATCATGACCGTATAAGGCGGTTATGCAAAATACAAACTTCATTTGATTGTTAAAGTAATGAAAACCACATGACTAATATAATTACAACGGATAATCTCACAAGAGACAGTTCTACCCATAGAGTTGGCTTTGAAATCTTTGATCAAAGCACTTTCTTGTTTTTATAAATTATTCCTCTGTCTTAAATCCTGACAACCTTTTTAGGTTATTTATAAAGTAGGAAAGTCGTCTTCATCCTGTCTACTTGATTCCTCGTCATCGTCAATGTCATCGTCCATGTCATTACGCAGAGCATTAGTCGAGTCTTGGCCGTCAGTCCTTTCATTGGCGTCTGGATCTTCTTCTTCTCCTGAAGCTCGATCTCCTCTATAATTATCCTTTGTTTATAAAGTTTACAATAATCCTTTAACTCACTCTGCTAATTCCAATTGAGACAAAGCCTCATTTATAAATGGTAAAGAAGAAAAGGCTCTGTTGCTTCCAATACGCTGACTAGCGTTCCCGAAGGCATCCTACAATCATTTTGATAACATGAATCCTATCTACTCGCACCTCTTTTCTATTTCTCGCAAACGGAATTAAATGAGTTTGTAAACCCGTCAAAAGGGGATAAGGTTTATTTTCCAATATACTCCTCATGGAATCGTCTGCAAACAATTGGTAGAGATGCAACAATAGAAGCTACTTACCAGGCTTACTGTACATCTTTCCGTCAGAGAGACCATTCAATGGTCCGAGGGTAGTCCTCATCAACGCCAATGCAATCTCGGTTCTTTCTATGGAATCTTCATAGCTACTTTTATCATTAATGTCTTTGAAAGTTTTTCTGAAGAGGAATAGAGGCAAATGAGAGTTGAGAAGATGATAGCTCACCTATGCCTTAAAAATCGTTTATCATGCCAATATCCACCTGATCCAAAGTTTGATAGGGGTGGAACTTCGAACTGTAGAGTCATCCAGTGTTGTGAGGTTAGAGGATCAGTGGTTCTATCAATTTTGGAAATGAACACAAGAAGAAAAGAAGACAAACTTTCTGTTTTTCGTGACATCTACAGGTGGCTCATCTTGGTCGGCAACCGTTTCTTCTCTGAGAGCTTCTTCTATACTTTCCAATTCATCTGCTGTTAGCGTAGACCTCATAGCTGTAGAAAATACTTTGAGTATGAAGAAAATGAATCAGCTTGCCTTTTTCTATATCTTCAGCTGTAATAGTAACTTCGGGATTCCAAGAGAATGTTCCATCAGTGAAGAAAGATCGGGCAGTACTGGCATCGTTTTCCTGAAGTGAACGAGATAAAAGTTTCTATCAAAGTAGATTCATACCTCCTTATCTCCTTCCTCTAATTCGAAATCACCTCCAGTAGTTTCGTCACCTTTGTCATCTTCTGGTTCAACACCTCCTTCCAACAATTTCGACATATCTCCAACAGTGGAAGGTAACTTATCTTCGAGTCTTAAACAAAGTAATAACATGAAAAACTTGTGTAGACGAAAACCTTGGTGACTCCTCTTCCGTACTGATATCATCTAAACGAGGTGATCCAACCGGATCTCCATTAGCATCAACCTCGATTAAGTCATCGTACGGTTCGAACTCATCAGCTGAATTCTAAATGAAATAACATTTGAAAACACACTACATAAATTACTGACCGATGAGGAACTGGTTTCGTGCACTCGTCTAGGGTATATAGGGTGAAGCCCCAGAACCCTAGATACACTCAAAGAAGATAGTTGAGTTCGTTGGGTTGCACTCGATTGACGGGGCTGAGCATACTCATTGGCTAGATGAACAGCCGATGAGTTTGATCTTGCCCCGTTCGAGTTTAGAGAAAGTGAAAGAATTCCTTGTCCAGCATTCGCTCTAGCAGTGGTTTCAGTCTGTACGAGTGGTTGCGTTTGCACTTGGGTTGGGTTCTGAGTCGTTTGAGGCGCGAGTAAGGTATTCTCCTGCTATAGATTTTGTAATTGAATTGGTATTTGTTGTTGTTGAGTTACCTGACGTAACCGCCGCTGAATTTGATCATGCTGTTGCTAAAGAATAAGATAAATAAATTGCAATGTAAATTTGATGAACCTCGATGAGTTGCCCCATTCTTTGCAACTGGGCGGGAGGGACAGGAGCTGCTACAGGTCCACCGATAGTGAATGAATTTGCGATTGTCTTAAAATAACATATCGGATGCGCAGCGATAATAATTACAAAACCTGCATGGTAGGAACTCTTGCAACCATCCTGAACATCTCATCCACATCCGTCAAATCTGTTGTCCAACCCATAGCCAGGGTAGCAATGTTAGCAGCTGAAGGAACTATGTATTACCAGGCATTGATAAGAGTTTCAACCAGGTGGAGGAGGGGCTCGTTGTGTACGTCGAGCTAGGGTAGGCCTTCTCACATTCCGCATACTGGGTTCAACGGGTGAACGATAATTGGCATCCACGAAACTGTGATAATAAAAATTCAAAAAGCAAATAGACATTGAATATTACTTTCCGTGCATTGTGGACATGTGTGACCTCATGTCTTGAACAGTTCTAGTAGAATCAAATTCTGGATAAGCTATACAAATTGGGCAAAGCTTGAAAAATATAAAATTGTGAGAAAATAGTTTTCTACGGCTTACCATAGGTATTTCAGGATGAGGACCTAAGTGGCATTGAAGAATATGAGAAATTAAAGTTCTAACACTATGTCCATCATTTCCACAGCATGGACAAGTGAATGATACAATTTTACAGATGTCAAAGTTTTTACTGGGGTCTCCTTCATAACAAATTTCTGAACATACTTTTAGATGATTACATCTGACCATAAGAAATCAGACCAAAATCTCTTTGAGACAAAATCAACTGCATCGGATGCTCCTCATGATGAGTTACATTAACTTGACCTGAAGAAAAAATGATGATCACAGAAAGTGCTTATATCCTTACTCCCCCCAGGTTCATTGAACTGATTTCTTGTATAGCAGAGGAAGCATAAATCAAAATCATAACATCGAAGACATTTATAACGGTTTCCCGTGAAATTTCCTCTCATGCAACCATCGCACGATACTCCTGATATAGTGCAGCATATTTACTAACGAGAAACATTATTTATTTTACCTTCATGTACTGAAAGCGATGCGCTCGTCGACATCACGCCAACAACCAAATGCTTTGAAATTTAGACTGTAAACAAGCTAAGTTGTGTTTCTGTTATTCTTTTTGTCTCTATTCTCATTAAATGCGTAAAATATGTAAAACATACCGTTTATTGATAAGAAAGCTTCATGCAAACTCAGTATCAAAGCATCTTGAACACATTGATGACCAGCTGAACGCATTTTGGTCCTACCACGCTCATTAGTTTTAAAGGACGGTGATGTAATTCTTTTCGTCTATCGGTTGTTGCTTTAATGGAATTAAACTATTTTAAATTGTTTATTTGATATTTATTAATATTTATGCAAATTATATGATAGCTAATGAGTTTTACTACTTACTTCTGAGCTTTTCCTCATGTTTTTCACTCTTATATTCATTTGCGGGCCTCAGTTTCATTTTTGTAGGTACATCGGCGACCATGCCGCCAAATTTCTTTCAAAAACCTGAGACCGCTTTGAAGCGTGCTCAAGAACTGATTCAAGTTGACAAAGAAGCTGATGCCTTGGATACTCTTCATGATACTATTAAGGTAGTCCTATCGACTTTTTTATTCATAACGCTGAGATTTAGTCACGCCGACATAAACAATGGACTCAGGTTCACGAGCTGATTATGCGAAAGCATTTGGAGCTTTGTGTGAATCTGAAAAAACCGCATGTTGCCAAAGATGCTCTTTTCCACTACAAATCCGTTACTCAACAAGTATGAAATTGAAAAAAGAAGGTTTTGGAAAGTAGTTTTCTCTAGATTGCCGTCAAATCGCTTGAGACTGTTATTGAGCATTTCCTTAGCTTGGCTGAAGCTAAGACTGTGGAGGCTCAGAAAACTTCCATCGAAAAAGTCGAAGAAATCGACGATTTGGATCAGGGAGATATCCCAGAAGCGTGAGTATTCCCGTGTCCACTTGTTGACTATTCGACCTTTGTTTAGGCTACTGTTATCTGTTGTGTCTGGTGCTGCCGCCCAAGACCGAATGGACAGAACAGTTCTTGCTCCATGGCTCCGCTTCTTATGGGATTCTTATAGAAACTGTCTCGATTTATTGAGAAATAACTCACAGGTAGTAAAGCTGAGATAAGCATAGCTTCATGCTCTATATTCAGGTTGAACATTTGTATCATAGAATTACTAGACAATCTTTTGAATTCTGTGCCAAATATCAACGTCGTGCTGAATTTAAAAAATTATGTGAACTGCTCAGATTGCATCTGAATCAAATTCAGAAGCATCAACATCTCCCTCATACGTATGTTGTTGTTTCATATCATCTTAGTAATTCCCTATGTTTTGAAGTGTCAAGCTCAACAACCCCGATTCCCTTTCTATGATGCAAGAAACTCGTCTTCATCAATTGGAAACAGCCATCAAGATGGAGCTCTGGCAAGAAGCCTACAAAAGTGCCGAAGATGTTCATGGTATGATGCAACTCAGCAAGGACAAAGACAAAAAAACTGTCAAACCAGCTAGTTACGTTAACTATTATGATAAGGTTTTCATTTAGTCTCCCGACTGAAGCTCATACTATCTATTGCAGCTTGCCTTAGTCTTCTGGAAAGCTGGAAACAGCCTCTTCCATGCCGCCGCTCTCTTACAAAAATTCACTATTTATAAGGACATGAAGAAATCTTTCACTCCTGATGAAGCTCAGGAGCAGGCAACCCGGGTTCTCTTGGCTACATTAGCTATCCCCGATGGTGCTGACGCTCCATCTGATCTTACTCGTCACTTGGATATCGAAGATCAACATGCTTCCAATATTAGGTAAATCTCATTCTCACATATAGTCCTAGCATCTATGCTCGTCCAACAACTCTTCTGGCCATCATATTTTCCAATGCTCATCGAAATACGTACAGCATTTCATAATGACGGCAATATTGTCCTTCCAATTGGAATATCTTTCACGCTCTTGTTGTATGAGAGACCAAAATTAATGGATACATTTTCAGGCTTCTGTCCAATCTTCTCAGATTACCCATAGCTCCTATTCGTGCCGGTATTTTGAAGGAGTGTGCTCGTTTAGGAATACCAGAGCTAGCATCTGATGCTGCCAAATCCCTTTACAAGCTTCTGGAGAACAACTTTGCCCCATTGAGGTATACCGAACCTTTTTGATGGTCGGACAAGAGCTTTTTCCAGACTAGCTCAGGATGTTGAGAAGGAGTTACAGGTCATTAACGTATCAGAGCATAAGGATTATGTTGAGTCTCTGCGTTATGTCGTTGCTACTAAAGCTTTAAAACAGGTTAGATTAAGACTTTACATGCGCGACCATTCAACTAATCATTTTCAGATCGCAGTTATCTATGATTCCATTAGTTGGGCTAGAATTCAAAAGATTGTTCCTTTCTATAATGAGTTGGAATTAGAACGTCTTGTTGTTGATGTTTCCAAGCACCGATACGTCCGAGCTCAGATTGATCATAGATCCGGCTGTGTACGTTTCGGAGCCGCTGATGCTACTCTTGCTGGAGGAGTCGACTTGGAAGAAGCTGACGGATTTACTGGTATTTTATATTATTGAACATGCTTAGTATACTATCTATTAGGTGATGACTCTCAACTCGGAGTCGAAGGCATTCGCACCCATCTTGAACTTATGTACAACAAGCTCAGAAGCACTGTCGAATTCTTGGACGGAGATAAGAAACGTGAAGATATGATTGCTAGAGTAAGTATTCTAACTTTCATATTGTTCTGACTCTGTGTGTTAAGGTGAGACAACACGCTATTAATTACGAACGTAACCGTCAAATGGAATCCGATCGTATCCTTGTACGTCGCAGAAAGATTGAGAACTACAAGGAAAGCTCGGAGCGCGCTAAGGCTGAAAGAACTCAACAGGTTCAAGCTGAGATGTTGAAGAAGGAGGAAGCCAAACGTGCCGAAGAAATGAAGAGATTGGAGCAAGAAAATATCGAATCTGAGAGAAAGCGTAAACAAGTCGAACAGGAGGAAATTCAACGCAAAATCCGACAAGACCAAATTCGCCGTATGCAGCAATCCGCTATTTACCAAGCTATCATCAAGGAGAAGGGAGAAAGCGCTTTCCAAGACATGGACCCCGAAGCAGTTTTACGCGAGCAGGTAGTGTACTAGTACAATTTAGTTTTATGCTTCGATTGCTTATAGAGAGAGCGACTGGATAAGGAACGTATGGAAACTCAGAAGAGACTTCAACAACAAGAGAAGACCTTCGACCACCATGTCCGAGCCATCCATTTGGAAGAAATGTTGGAGAGAAAGGCAATAATGAACAAGAGATTGTCTGATGCTCCTACTGCTCATAAGGAATACGAAGAGCGCCGCATTCAAAAGGCTATGTATGTAGATTTTTCCTTGTTCAACTCACCATATCACATTTCAGTGATGCCCATGAAAGTGCACTCCAATCATGGAACAGATTGGATGCTGTTCGTTCTGAATCTGAATCATGGATCACAGCCGTTAAGGATGGTAACGCTTCTAACTTCACCAGAAAGGTTACCGATTGGGAGGATAAGCTCGAAGCAGTCAGATCCGCTCGTTTGGCTGAAAGAGCTGAAGAAAGGAAGAAGAAGAGACAAGAAGACTGGCTCGCGGTATTTCAGTTTCTTCAAACGTTTAATTATTATTTTTTTGCAGGAGAAAGCTAAGAACGAGAAACAAAGAAGAGAAGAAGAAGAACGACAACGTCTTAAAGTTGTTGAAGAACAATGGAAAGCTGCTAGAGATGGTCAAGGCCCTGACCGCAGAAGAAGAGAAGAAAATGATTCCAAGTCTATGCTTGATAATGACTGGAGATCAGGAGGAGGAAGACAAGCTCCACGTGAAAACAGAGAACACCGTGAACCACGTGAAAATAGAGAGCAGAGAGACTCCCGCGAACCTCGAGAAGACTATTCTTCTAGATTCTCCCGCAATAACGCTTCTGGCCCAACTAACAATGAGCCTTGGGCTAGAGGAAATGTTGTTAAGAAGAATGAAAATATACCAGGTAGATACAAAATAAGCTAGTTTAATCATTCTTTGCTATTCTTTTCAGAAGCCGCTTCTGAAGCTCCAACAAGATCTGAATTCAACCAACGTCCCTCTATGTCTCGCCCGTTAGCCTCCAATAATGAAGAAAAGTGGGCTAGAAATGTCAGAAAAGTCGATCCACCTGCAACATCAAGCACTGAGGATAAGGGCTTCACTAGAGTTGGAAAAGGAGGTATCCCTGAGAAATCTGACGCCTTCCCTATCCGCCGAGACTTCGGAGACCGTTCAGAACGACCAATCGAACGTAACGATAGAACCATGGAACGTCCTGAGAGAACTTCCGATCGTCCAGAAAGAAATTTCGATCGCCCCGAGAGAACCTTTGACCGTTCCGAGAGAACTTTTGACCGTTCTGATAGAGGATTCGAGCGTAGCGACAGAGGTTTCGATCGTTCAGAAAAAACATCCGATCGACCAGAAAGAAGTATGGGTGGCTTCAACCGTGACCGAGATACTACTGATCGCAGTTTTGGTGGTCCAAATCGTCGACCTTTAAATAAACCCAAGGAAGGTGGTGCTGACTCCAATAACTGGCGACGATAAGCTGTTATTTGTTTTGTTTTCTCTGTTTTTGCACAACTATTCATGTTAGTCTTGCTATTTTCCTTGTTGAAGAGTTGTTTTAAAATTAGGTATTGCGCTGTGACTCGGACATCGCTGTTACATACGTTCTATCATTTTTTCGGTTATTTTGGACTTTGTCGAATGGTGTGTGTCTAGCAAATATGCTGTTTTAAATAAATTTTTAAGAATTTTCATTATTTCTGTTCGGTTGTTGATAGTCATAAAACTTTATTGTTATTTGTAAACTTTTTCTTCTGGTTGTAATGAACATTTGGAGATCGTAGTCTATGTCTTGATTTTGATGTGTGAAACATGGTTGGAAAATGTCTGGTAACGCCCAAGTGCTTATAGTGGAGCGCGATGATTCGCTTGTCCACTAAACACTTACTGGTTCAAATCTCAAGGGCGCTGATGAACTTTGTATCATGGCCGAGGGTTCTGTAAGTGCGTGACCTGAATAAGGTCGGACCCAACGTTACTGCTTAATCCAGAAGAAGGATAATTGGTATAGCGACTGAGTCCTTGAAAAACATTTTTATCATTTAGAGACTCAAAGCCTATAGAGTGGTTGCATTCAGATATTCTCCCTAAGTTCACGTACGTTTCTTGTTGTAGTCAATGTTATATCAAAGTTTTCGAAAAAAATAGCTTTTATTGATTTTATCATTTGAGTTTTAAGTTGACAGTTCTTGTTGGGAATGATGTCTGTTAGTGGAGGACTTTCTACATGTACACGGAGGAACTCGTACACAGCACTTGTACACCCTCCGTGTACAGGTGTCAGAAAAAGTTTAAATTTTTAATTTTTAAAATATCCCGAATCTGATAATCATTTCAATACAGATTTTCCATTTCATTTCAATCGTTTTTTGAAGGTCGTTTTTTGAGGTTGTAGTTTGATTGTGAAGATTGCCCTTGTGTGCTCGACCTTCTCAGCTGATCTCTGATTGAGTTCTGCTCCTCCATTCAACTTACAGGTCTATTGATTAGGAACCTTTGTAACCTTTTCTTCCTTTTTTTCAATTGCTATAAGGTAATTTAAACCGTGTTCCTTGACACTTTTTCTGACCTGAGCCCGCTCCTTTGAGCTGCTTGTGTTGATAAATCAGGTTAAGAATTGACCATTCAAACACTCGTTTATCGTTCTTTGAAGTTGTAGTCCGGTGTCCAACTCTGATCGTTCGTAGTAGCCACGCCCATC